CTCTTCTTTTTTTAAATTAATATTTTATTTTATATCATTCTTACATCATTTTTCATTTTTGCATAATGTATGCATTATCATTTTGGTTATATTCCCCATACAATTGCACCCCCCCTTAATTTGACCCTACTTTGACTCTTCTTACCTGATTTACTCACCTTTCTTCTCCCTTCCCTCTGGTAACCACTATTTGGTCTTTTAATCTAAACCTTTACTTTTCCTTATTTAGTTCATTCATTTGTTTTTTGAGGATTAAGGCTTAAGATTTTGATAACAATAAGAAAAATCTATTTTTGTATGCTAAAATTAATTTTTTGTCACTTTTTCAATATAATTTTGGTCAATTTCTTTCAAAAGTTGTTGCATGATATGTGAACTTATAAAGAAACCATGCACAGCAAACTAAGTTCATTGTTTCTCAAAGCGTTCACTGAATCTTAAGCATTTAAAAAATATATTTGCTCTCAATTTAGTTGTCAGCTTTATTTTTGAGAATGTTATTTCTTATTGAGATGTGAATAACAATCACTAACAAAGCAAAGACACATTATAGCACAGACAATGTTAATAAACTTGAAACAGCAGATGTTGACAAGAAAGGGATTGATATTAAGAAAATACCAGATAATTTACAGCTGGTGGAAAGAATAAAACTGGTCTAAGAGATTAAAAAACAGTCATTATCATAACTTGTAGAAAAAGTTTCAAGTCAGTCAGCTGTTTTCCAAATAGTTTCTAATAATAAAATTCTTCATGTATGTCTTATAGTAACTTTCACAATACTAAAATGGCTCAACCTTAAGTTTCCAAATAAAAGAACGATGAGAGCATGCGAGGACTTTCCTGATTTTTTGCTGGAAATGTTATGCTCATTAAGCTCTGAGGATGAGAAAAGATGAGGAATGATGGGGAATGTCAGAACCCTAGAGATTAAGATTGAAAGGCAAAACACTAAACTGGAAGACAGAGAACTAAACAAGAATGAATAGTGCTGGTGAGAATGGTACAATGATACTGGCAGACTATACTGCATTCTGTGTAAAAGAATTCGGAGGGACATAAGCAGTAACTGAGAAAGAATTACTTGGTAGAGCCATTTAACAAAAGATTATGGAAATTACACATGACCTATGAATTTATAACAATGTTAAAACTCTCTGGTAACTAAAGACAATTAGAGCAACAATGAAATATTATGTTCTGTTTAGTAAATTTTCAACAAAATTTTCAACAAAAAGTGTTAATAATGTCTGACAGCATTTGGGGATATTTAAGAGAATCCTAGTAGGGGAATAAACTGATACAACCCCTGTAGAAATTTATCAGTTTATCAAAGTACATAAAGAACCGTTAACATTTGTTGGCTGCATATTTACTCTTAAGAATAAGATAGGTGCAAAAATTTAAAAACAAGGATGTTCAACCCCATTGATAATATGAAAAGCACCCACATGACAAACCAGAGCTGAGACTGGTCACATATATTATGAAACAAAGGACTCTGCTGCAGCTATTAATGACTACATTCTATGCAGTTATTTAGCAATGTAGAAATATGTATATATCCTTACGAGAAAAACAGGTGGCAAGAATATTTATAGCATAGTGTTAACTTTCTTACTGTGTGTGTACATGACAAACAAAAGATTGGAAGTGGCTACATGGAAACATTGGTTGTTAACTCTGTTGCAATTTAAGTTTTTTCTTGGCCATTTCTGTTATTCTACAGATTCTTCTGAACTAAAATTCCCTGTACTTAAAGTCACAAACATGTTTTTACACACATTTTTGTAATAAATAACCAAAATCATTCCTGTAGACCTGTTTTTCACATCTATACCTGTGGAGATTGAAATAGCAGTTCTCCGTGGTTCTGTTTTTAAACTTCTACAAAATATTTATGAAAAGCAGAAGGTGATGCAGAGATAATATAATGTTGTTGCTGATGAACACACAATAGAAATAATATAGTGCTTACTTTACACCAGGTATTGCAATTTATATGTACATTGTATTTTAGGTACTACAATGTTCAATTTGCATGTTAAGATTTAGAACTTAAATAACACGCTCAAGGTCTCATGGCCAGTATTAATATGAAAAAATCCACTGTAATTTCTAGACTTTAAACTCATTTACATCATTTTTTTTGAAATATAATGGTTAATTTCATCATAGATATTTTTCATTGTTTTGAAGGAGTAAAGGAAGGCCCCTTCTATCTGTAGAACTATTTACTAATTTATTAACAATGTCTGAATTCCCTTTGATATTTTAAACTATTAAGTCATCTAATCATTTGTGAAAGATAGTATACTTTAATATACTCTGCTTGGAAGTCCCTAAATCACTTACAATTTGGAAGTTTTTAAAAACTGAAAAACAAGGGATTTTTGGGATTATGACTAATGGGTGGGCCAAAAAATACTCACAATAAGTTAAATTTGTATCAAGCTTTGCTTTACTAAGCCTTTACCACATCTGGTAAGAGTGGAACTGTGGTCGCACTAGAAAAAAAATATTTTCAAGGTTGAAACTCACATTCCCACACTGGCATGGTTAGTTTAAGGTAAGGTTCTAGTTCTGTAACTCATACAACTAAAACAATGAAAAGAAGAGGAAACTGATTTTATAAGAACAAGATCCTGTGCAACGCACTTTAAAAGGCAGAAGAAATGAAAGCATTCATTACAATAATGATCAGTTGTTGCATAAATTCCATCAGGAGAAGAAAAAAGGGTAACGGAGAATGATTTATATTCCCTATGAGGATGGCTCCTAATAGTGAGTGTTGTTAATAAGAAAACATAATTGTGAAAAGACACACATATCTTAATTCTGACTGTACAAATGAACACAAAAACATTCCATAATCATCCTATTTCTCAGGAAAAGATAATATTTGCATCATTTGTATTATACTCATTTTGGATTATCCTAATCTTTGGTGTAAAACTTTTTTTTTAAGCTGAGAACACAGTGCAACCCTATCTTTCCTCTCACACTGAAGTTCATGTAACAGACACAGTTATATTTTATCAATGCAGGAACAGGTTTTTAAGAGATTTAAATTTTTCTGTTCCCCAAATTATTTGTAAATAGGACATATCAATTCTAATTTCTTTCCAAAATATGGCTCCATCTAATGACAGGGATGAGGGCATTAGTAACTCAGAACTTCTACTCTATCCTGGCAACTTCCTCGGGATTGAACTGTGAGGTCCAGAGGATTCATGAATGCCATTTCAGCAGACAGCTCACCTGAGATAAACTTTTCTGTGAATTTAATGCTTACTTATTTTAGATGAATGCTGAGTCCCCAAATCTATACATAATCCATTCTCAAAATTCATATAAATTTTGCCATTTATTCAATGAAGTTTATATTTGGGGAAGATACATTTTCCCTGAACATAATGGCTGCCTTATTACAGCACAGAAAAGAATACAACATTGAATTTGAGTCACTGAAATCTCAGTACAATTTTATCACATCTAAATGCTGACACAATACTTGACCACTAAAATATATTTCTCAAAAAAAATTCTTTTGTTCCTTGGTGGATCTTTTTTCTAAACAAGAGTATATTAGAACATTAACGTGGACCCAGGTGCTTTTGGAAGTTGCAAATAAAATTCTTTTCAGGATGAAAAGAACTGAAAAACTAAAAGCAGTGTTTCCTTTTACTTGTGTAATAATTGACATATCTGAAACAAAGAATGTGAGAACAGTTCTTTTATCAAGCAGGAGTCAACTTTGACCCTCCCGGAACTCAGCCTCTTATTAAAGAGTTCCATCAGGATGTCTTTATGTTGCCTACACATACTTATATATCCTTGCTTTGTTCACAGTGTGATTTCATTTATGGAAAATGAGTCTTGATCCAACAGTTCCCTTGACATTATCACCCACAAATTCTTGGTTAACAAGGAGAAATCAACTACTGTGGTGGATTCATTCGGGTTCTTCACCAAGCAGAAATGCCACCTATGAATGTCATCTAAAAAGTTATTGCAAGAATCACAGCTATAGTGTTTCCAGTCAATCCATTATTCTGAAAAGTTTAAATAATTTCCACTCCATTTCCTTTTCATATTTCAGAGATGACATAATTAAATAGAATTAGCTTAAGTTGAGACTAAACAGCATATATACATGTGATAAACGAAGCCTACCCCGATAACAAAATAAAAAAAAGGAAAAGAACTTTAGACAAAAGTGAAAGAAATGATCTAATCACGAGATGCATTTTATAATCACCTTTGCTTTAAATAAGCATGTCTCATCCAAACACAAATAACGTCAGTTCTAACACACACAGTATCCCTGAGGGAAGGGTCTTAACTAGAAGGTTTAAAAAGCAGATGCTTCCAAGTGATGGCCATTTACATGATGAAAATTATTACAAAGAGCTGTTATATTATGATTTCCTAATACAACAGTAACACAAATGTTTTTATTCTGCAAATGTAAATTAAAATGATTGGAAAATTAGCTTCAGAAAACAAAATATATGTTCTATTTTATGGGTATAATTCTACCAAAATTTTTTTAACCTCAATCTTCCATCTTCCTGGAGATTCCCAGATAGTTTCATACAAACATGTTAAATATTAAATGGCACAAACTGCTTTTTGCTGATAAATGTACTTAAACTGAACAAACAAGCAAGCGAAAGTCATACCTATCGGTCACAGAATCAGTCACACTTTATGTTCTTCTTACAAATGAAATAAATATGTCTGTAAAACCAAGCTAATGATCCCAGAATTCAAAATCACACTATGACTTGGCTATTTAATTTCACTTTCCATAAATTATCAGTTCAAGAGTAACAGAGAGATAACAAATGCCACTGAGTTAAAAACCAAGCAATGTGATAAACGAGCAGTGATTGCTTAGTGATTCTATCACTGAGAAACTTCTATCTGCCCCAACTCAATGTCCTTAAATTTACCCCCACAGCAGGCTCAGACTTTGAGATTACCCTTCTACATACTGGGAATTTGTTGGATCCTGTGGACAACGACAAATGCGTCAGACAGCCCCACTTTCACTGGGTGATTGGTCGAACTTATCTGTGTGACCAAGACTGGAATCTGGAAAAGACAAGGCAGATTGCTGTGTGTTAGATTTGAATTTCATTCAGGGTGGAGGCAGAGAGTGGGGTCATCTTCTTTAATGGATAAAATCAGGTGATAGATTTGAAGACTTGGAGAGAGAGAAGCAAATATTAGAAAGAAAAAAAGACAGATAATACTTAAAAATAACATTTGTTTAGTATAATACAATGGGCTAAATTGACAAAGTTTCTGGTCTCGGAGATGACATTTAATGATGAAAATAATAGAATCTCATGCTGAATGCTGGAAATTTATTATACATAGAGGCATGGCATGTATGCTTTTAGTGCTAGCTATAATTTCAGGAATAGAGATTCTCCCTATAATGGTATTTTTCCTAAATAATTTTATTATATATTTATTTTCATAGTTTCAAACTTCTTATTTATATGTGCCTTTATGGATATAAACCCTAGAGAAAAACACATGCATTGTTAAATATATATATTTAACAATATCATCACTAAGTAGTATATAATCAAATTTGGCAATTGCTAATGATGTTGAACATAACTATTTTGATTGAAAATCACATAGAAAGTTTATGAATTATTTTGGGTCAATTCAAAGTCACCTTTCCTAAATTTGAACCTCAATGGAACCAAAATCTAAATAGGAAAGATTTCCAATATTTATAGTCTTAAAACATTAGGACATATCAACAATATATTAACATAACACAACTCACAAATGAGAAAATATTGGAGCCAATTTTTCTAGATTTAGAAAAATACAATGGAGGTATGATGACTATCTTCATTACCCATTTTGTAGAAACAAAGATGAGAATGAAAGCATCACAAATAAATAAATGGAAAAGAAACAAAATGTAAAGGATAAATGCACCACCATTAAATATTTGGGTAGGAGAAGCAGATTGTGGGCCATCTGTGGGTAATTCATCAAAGAATTTATTAGATCAGACATTCTTGTGTAAACCACAATAAACAGCATAGCAATGAGAAAGAAGGAAAATAAGTTGGAGAGAAGATATAAGAACTATTTCTCTCATTTTTTATAATTGACATCATGAAATTATAAAAGGGCTTTTTGTTGAAACATCAATTAAATGGAAACTATAATGTTTCTGAAGTTTGTGGAATTATTTCAAAAATAAAAGATGAGATTTTTTTTCCCATCGTGTACTAAATCAGTGTTCTCTTAATGTTATGGTCTTACCAGTTTTTATCAATATGTTTAGGTCTTAACCAGCATGAAGAATAATTCTGGCATTGGACAAACAGAATTGAAATTATAATTCCTGTTCCTAAAAACTAATTTACTAAATGAAACTATGATGTACTTTATCTAGTGATTATATTATTTCCTGGTTTTATATTCCATGCTGAGGAGTGCTAATATGAATACAGGGCCTCCGTGGTGGTGCAAGGGCTAAGACACAACCTATGAAGCTATCCACAGCCACTGCAACATGAGTTCGATCCCCGGCCAGGTAGCTACCCACATGGCACAGCAGACCTCTCCTGACTTGCCCGCTGCTCCCCTCAGCAGTGTACTTCTGTCAATCTGCCTGTTCTGTTCCCCACTCTGTCTCTGGTGAATCCTCTCACCCCCTGCACCTCTGGCCTGAACCCCAGTTCTTGTATGCACAAATAAATCTTAAAAAAGTAATAATATAAATATAATTTATAATTTAAATATAAATATAATTTAAATATAACACAGACAATGTTATATAACACAATTACTTACACAAAATGTCCCAACTGTTACTTATACAAAAACGTCCCAACTGGTTTTATTTTCTATAGTCTAACAAGACAAAGTCAGAGGAATTTTAAAGATTTATTTTTCTTTAAAGTCAGAAGAATTTTAAAACATTATTACTAATAGGACCTGCCTAAGAACAAGTATGAAAACTGTGCTACTTGCTTTTCTCACTTGTCTTAATTCTCCAACATGTATGAATGCTGTTTTCCTCGCAAGTTCGAAAAATTTTACCAGATAATTCTGTGGCAAATAATTGTCGTATTTCTTCTTTTTCTGTATATAAAGTTAGAACTTGAGTTTATATTGGTATCAGCTGGAAAACCTGATAAATGTTATTCTGAATATTATTTTTATGTAAAAGCTTTTGTTTCAGGCCCCGTGACATCTTGTAGACCTTTTGGTGTAGTAGATTTTCCTTCTTTTCAGATTATCCACTCCACCTTTTGGATCTCTCTTTGTCATCTCTTTCCTTACCTAACCATTTTTTACTTTGATTTTATTTTCTTTCATTCTTTTTACTCCTTTTCTTTATATTGTTTCTAAAACAAACCTTCTCTCCTGAGCATTTCATCTGTGGTAGACTGATTGCACCAATGACCTCAATCAATAGCCTTCTTGTATCCAAGCCTTTGGCCTTTTCACTTTTCAGTATTCTTCCATTCTGACTGTGCTCAAAAAGAAGATAACGACAAAACTAAAGCAAAAAGGTACCTGAAAAAATGCCTGTATATCTCCACCTCTTTTCTTACACCCTCGCCATTACCAGGAGATTGTACATCACTGTCAGCTGAAGACATGAGATACATGTGGAGAAATGTTTTCTTTCCAGCAGAGGTCATCCTTGACCAGCAAGCCCTAGTAGCTGGCACCTTCTTGATTAGCTAGTACTAACCAATCTACCAGCAACCGTATTATGGAGCTGGGGTAAGAGGAGACCAATCCAGATCACTAGAACCAACAGGCTGATTCATACTTATCTTGTGCAAAATAAGAAATTGAGTTGTTTGAAGGCACTACATTCTGGGGTGATTTTGCCACACAGTAATACTAATCAATACATTTTCTTTAAAAATCAGTACATTTCTCATTAAAAATTTAATAACCAAACACAAACTTTTCCATATGTTCTACATAATGAAGTAGTATTCTTCCTCCTAGATTTCTGTAAATCAAATAAATATCTATTCCTAGGTACAATTAAACTTGAAAGATTGGTATTTTCCAGTAGAAAAAAATCTCATTTTCTTTTTTTCACTCTCTCATATTTCTTCATTCTCTTGTTAATTATTTCTTCTCTGGATTCCAAAAGCCAAGACCAATTTGTATAAGTAATCTAGAGCCAAATTCCTTTAGCCTAAGGAAAATGCATCCACAAACAAAATGAGTAACTTAAAAATATAGAGTATTCTGTCACTTAAATAATTCCATTATAAATTGGTCAGCCTTCAGAGAAGATGGTTGCCTACAACTTTTAAGGATCCTTTCAAAACTTAAATTCGACTATGTTATTCTGTTGAATTATCTTGACATTTCCAAACTATAGCAAGTAAATTGTTAACAAAGATTTGCAACAAAATTTGTTAGAATGAAATATGTAAAAAACAGAAGTAGGCAGAAGTTATTATCTGCTACTAGGGCTTACCTTTTAACTTAGTGCCAGTTTGTTAGATTTATTTATTATTGGACAGTGATTTCTAAGGATTGTGTCTGATAAACCCACTCTAACAGGAGCCTTAATATAATGTGGGGCCACAGGCAGAAAATAAATTTCTGAGAGTAATGTCTACTAGATATCAATTATCTTCTCCAAAATGTAAATACACCCCCACACTATCTGGTAAGAGAGAATTCATTAAGTATTAATTGACCAAATTCTCTGTATTATTACAGAAGAGAAAAAAATAAAGTCTGTACTTCTCATAGAGTTTACATTCTAGAGTGAATACCAACATTCACACAAATCAACATCAAAATTATACAGTATGCTAGGAGGTGGTGGTCAATGCTGGGGGGAACAAAACTTGACAAAGACATAGAAAGGGGTTAAGGCATCTCTACAAGAGGGAAGTCAAAGAAGGTCTCCATGATAGATGACTTTTCTATAGGCACTTGCAAGACTGCCAGTGGGTATTTGGGGAGACGCTCTAAGTAAATGCAAAATCCTTAACTGAGTCATTTTTGGTGTCTTTTAGGAATTAAGAATGCCAAAGGATATGGGTGTGTTGGGGAAGGGTTACAGGGATTAGGTACATGGAACAACTCATAGCAATAACTTTAGATTTGACCCTGGGTTAAATGGGGAATGTCTAAAAGGTTTTGAACAGAGGAAGGACATACCCTCATATCTGAAAGAGATCACACAGAGTGCAGTGTGATTAAGACTTAAGAGGGCAAGGGAGAAGGAGATATTAGTTTAGAGGGTATCACAATATCTAGATAATAGTTGGTGGTTTGGACTACACTGGTGTGGTAATGTGGGTGATGGAAGTGACAGCAAGATGTATTCTGGATGAATTGTGAAATTACTGTTATCAAGACATGACATAGTTTTAATAAGGAGAGTGAGAAAATAGATGAGCTTCAACAAGGCCACTCAGTAGCAGGAAAAATAGAGTCATGTTTTTCCTTGGGGTGGCCATGTTGGATAGCTTCAGAGTTCACTCACACAGTGGGCTGTAAGAACGGTGTCTTCGAGACATGCAGAGAAGAGATTGTGCAGGTCTGAAGATTAGTAGTGAAATGTCCAGAAATAGAGAAGACTAGGAAGGAAGGTGGGAAAAGAATGATGACTTTATGGCAATGCAACTCCACATACTTTTCTTTAAGATTTCATAGAGTTCATGAATAAAAACATAGGTTTTCTAAAACTATAGTATTTTATCCTGATTAAATATGAAATGAAAAAATTACAAGAAAGTTTTGATTCCTTGCATTTTTCTAGAAGCCATCCAAGTCTTTCATGAAATGATTACATATCATGTTTTGGAAAAAAAAATAAAGACTGCTTCTGCCAGTGAATTGAATACCTAAATGTAAAAGATTCTTGAAGAAAAGTTGAACATGCCACACTTTTCATCATTTTCCTTTAGAAACAAGTCTGTCTCTCTCCACCTGATGTTGTCATGTCATTTTTACTCTACCTTCTTGGGTTGTAGTATTTTTGCTTGAAGGCTGTGGTGGTGTTCTGTGAAAGGATCATTCATCTACTCACTCAGAAATGAGGGCCTGAGAGGGCCCTGTAAACA